ATGGGGTCTTTGATTTTATATTTTGATAGTACATATTATATTTTAATTGATGAAATCGCTCCTCAAGTTTTCTATCTAGTCTGTTATATCATTTGAAGATTATTATCTTATACTGAACTTTACAATCTACCTTATTAGTGTGCTCAAGTAATTCAGAGCCCAATTTCCGAGGCCAATTTTCGCAAGGCACCCCAAAATTGTTGGCCGTTTTGTAACTTAACCCATTTGTGCATAAATGAAGGTGTTACCAAATATTTGCATATTTACGCCCACTTAATTTAGTTATTATGATGTTTGTATTATTGGACGATCCTTTGTGTCCTATTTGATAAATGAACGTTTCTATTGGACATCACGATTTCGACGTTTCGTGACAATATCCATTGAGAACGTGGCTATGATTGAAATAATTCATGTTTAACGGCAAAGGAAACATGACTGTGTTTCATTTAACAATACAAAGCTTTGTACCGTGACGGTAGCGCCATCTCTGGCGGCAGTTGGGAAGCTATAATTGTGACTATTACCATTTTAGTTAGTTATCAGTGTAAAGCCCACTAATCTAGTGCTTTAATGAAATCTCGTGAAAGTTTTACGATCAGCTAATGAAATTGAAAGCCCCGATTCTGGATTAATTAGATTTTAATCCATAAATCAGACTGTACGTTCTATCTCTGTATCACGCTAAGCAAATAAAACATTCATAGAAATGGCTGAACGTGTAATTACATACTATTTATATTCTTTTACTTTCTTTAATGAACAACTAGTAGTTTAAAGAGAAATTCAATAGCACAACGAAGGATTTTGTAAAAGGAACGAATATTAGGATACCCCTGTATAAAAGCAATCCATGCCCTGACCATGTTCTGCAATTTTTGACCTAATTCGCATTCTTTAATAGCCAGCCAGACTGTAAAGCAGTAAAGTAGTAACGTTCATAAACATGACCCGTGGACGTATCGCAAAGCATATTTCCAATAACGGTGTTTTTTGCTTGCTTTATTTCGGTGATTCGTTCCACTTTCGTTGGGTCCGCCGACCGTAACCATGGTGACGGTAGTGTGTTCAATATCTAAGCTTCGTACTGCGAAATGGGGAAGTGAATGAAGTAGGTATGTTTTTTTAAACAATTCCTTTGGATTAAAGGAGACATTCCGAAGTTGGTTTTCGTTTGGCAGCTGTCTGCCTGTCAGACTGTTGAGACCATTTCTTTGAGTTGATCTCTGTTATGACTAACGTTTTTATTTTTTGAAAGATACTTGAATTTTGTTCTCTTATATTATTTATTGAAAGAAAAATTTAGGTTAGATACACATATTATTCTAATCCAAAGATTCTACAGACAGTTTTGACAAGAACAGAACGTGTGTGTTATCTCACACCAATACCACGTGCTTTGTTTATTGTCTTCATTAACATAACTAGCTCTATATTTTGCGTAGTAAATTAAATAGTTTTGATATTTTCCTTTATTTTTTATATCATTCAACCTTGTTTCAACTCTACGCCATCAATATTTCACGTGTGAATTCTATTCAATATGAAAGAGGGTTCCAAATTAATTGCAAAGCCCGAGATAGTTTCGGTTGGCCCTGAAAAGTTTTATGCTTACACATAGTTGAGGTGAAAGCATGAATTATTGCGATGACAGTGCTGTGCACGTCTGCGGTATTCCGCTCGGATAATTTATTACTAGCTCAGTTGATGCGTACGACCTTATCACAATGGTCCGCGAACACAATGTACGCATAATCTGTTCTGCGTACTCGCTTTTTGTTCGATTTTCATACAAAAATCGCTTTCCACGGGTGTGTTTAGAGGTGACGATTGGCTTTTGTGATCACTATTATGAATCACTACACTTGATGATGTGAAAATTTATTTGGGTACACTTAATTTTCAAGTATTGATGAGTAATTGCGTGAGATGGCAAAGTATGCCGAGTTCTTTTTAAGACAGCTTACTTCATCCTGGAAGCCATAAAAATATTTTCTATCGGTAACAATACAAAGTAAAGTGCACTAAACGGTTCTCTGTTGTTGGTCACAGGTCGATGGCCTTGACCCGAAATATTTCAGCGTTTACATCATTCTGGTCATTAGCCTATTATCGAATAATAACTGCTTAACTATTTTTTATGCGATTGTACTCGTCAATGCTCGTAATGTTTCTTAAGATTATTTGTAAATAATACTGCTCTTGAGTTCTTTATCAACTTATTTATTTACTTTATCCTCAATATTATGAGTCACATTTACTTGAATAAGGCAATAACTCGTTGTAATGCACCTATAGATTTCCATAAATGATTCGATCGATAAGTAAAAGGTAGATAAGTTCAACTAAGGTACTCAGGCCTTCATTGAAAAGGCCAGAGATTAGTTCTGGAGAAGGTTTCTATAAGGTCCTGAAAGGGTATCTTTCTATTTACATTTACTTGATGTTTTTTTTTTAATGGGTCTGTTGGATACTTATGCCCTGTGTAATGAAGGGGCGCAATAGGATCACAGGCACTGGAAGGTCATCGAACTTGTCCCGACTCTATAATTAGCTCTTTGTTTGCTTGACGTTTCACTGCCATTGTCCATGTTCCAATTGATGAGGATGCTGTACACTTGTTCAAACAAATTTATTCTACCGTCGAGTATTCTTTGTAAAAAGGTAATCTGTCCAATTTTTCCAATGGATTTTCGACTATGTTACAAAACGATAAAGTTGAGAAAGATTTGGATGGATGGCAATCCTAGAAAAAATACACGTGTGTCGAATAATCTCTCACGATATTATTTTCATTCGTATGTTTACACTAGCTGTTGCCCGCGACTTCGTCCGCGTAGATTAATGACTTCTGACAGAATTAACCAGAATCAATTCAGCGCCCAAGTAAGATTTACCTATTTTGAAATGATTTATCGTAGTTTCAATATATAAATAATCCCGCAGGGATCTTACCAGTACAGTGCCCGATCACGTAAGGTTTGAGTAATAAAAACTATTCTATCGACTATTGTTGTACCGAATCTCTCTAGAATAAGTTCAGTGGTTAAGATTTAGAGAGTCCTGGGGCATTGACGCATAGTTCCCGTTCTCGTGAGACATCTATGAAAAAACTATCATACGTTACCCAGGTCCCAAATCATCGTTTTACCGAATGTAATTCAATAAGATTCAATTCAATTTATACAAACTCTCATTCCCTATTTTATCCCCTTAGGGGTGGAATTTATCAAAATCCTTTCTAAGGAGATACCTATGTCATAGTAACTTTATGCATGCAAAGTCTCAGCCCGATCAATTTAAAACTGACAATGTCTCATACAAACTTTCATCCCCTATTTTACCCCTTTGGGGGTGGAAATTATCAAAATCCTTTCAAAGCGGATGCTTACGTCATAACATCTATCTACATGCCAAATTTCAACCCGATCGGTTTAAAACTAACAAAGTCTCATACAAACTTTCATCCCCTATTTTACCCCCTTGGGGGTGGAAATTATCAAAATCCTTTCACAGCGGATGCTTATGTCATAACATCTATCTGCATGCCAAATTACAACCCGATCGGTTTAAAACTGCCAAAGTGTCATACAAACTTTCATCCCCTATTTTACCCCCTTGGGGGTGGAAATTATCAAAATCCTTTCACAGCGGATGCTTACGTCATAACATCTATCTGCATGCCAAATTTCAACCCGATCAGTTAAAAACTGACAAAGTTTCATACAAACTTTAATCCCCTTTTTTACCCCCTTGGGGGTGGAAATTATCAAAATCCTTTCTTAGCGGATGCCTAAGTCATAACATCTATCTGTATGCCAAATTTTAGCCCAATCTGTCCAGCGGTTTGGGCTGTGCGTTGATAGATCACTATGTCAGTCAGTCAGTCAGTCAATCACCTTTGAATTTTATATATATAGATAACGTTCATATCGATGTGGAACGTGCCAAAATCCACGGCATTGATCCATTGATTGACAGGCATCTCAATATTAACTTTAGTTCATATTCTGATGTAAGTAATCCATCGTAAGTGTATTTTAATGTTTTGTTATTGATTGAGATTGAATTTTAACATCTATCATATTGTTATTTCATATTTTCTACAAAAACAGTTCAAAGTCTTCACTTCTAATATTTGTTAAGGTTCTTGTGGCTAGACAGATATTTATTGAGCAAACATAGACAGGAATGATATTAGAGAAACAAGGACCTACGTTTTTATAAACCGTGCAGCCACACAAGACCGTTTGTTTAATGCGTCTAGTCACCCCCCCTTTGTCGCAGTCGATGTGTCCCCCTGTCAGCATATACACTATGCAGACACGTGTACCGTATGTACAGACTGCCGTTGGTATAATTAAACTTTGAATTAACTGTTTCATAATCTTGTCAGCTTTTTAAGTAGTAGTCATTTAATAATTGTAAAAAATTCTCATTAGATATTTGTATGAAATTATCGTTTGCACACTTCTCAGTTATTTTGACAAAAATATTTCATTGTCATTATTTTATGTTGATGTGGTAGAAATCCAAATTATAACGCATTTTCGGGCGTCCAAGACTGCTTACGCAGCTTTCGGAGCGGGATACCCATTATCCTTGCACCAAAACTGCTAGTGTGCCATTTCCATGAAGAATTTATCATTTCATCGTTCTTTCTGAAACACAACTTGATGATCTGATACTTGTGTGAGCATTACATAACATAGTATATATTCAAAGAATAATAATGTTTTATGTTTAACTGAACTGAAAAACGAGATCTGTTTGAATAGTTTTTTCCAGAAGAATAAAAGTGTGCATGCAGATCTAAATATTATTCTGATTGAATAACAGATCTTTTATTTAATCGTAAGATACTGTAATCTATGTTATCTATTTTCTTAAGGCAAGTTATTGAGAAAGCAATAGGAATTTGTAACAAAAACATCCAATCACCTTGTGAATAATTTTGTACCTAGGGCCCTGCATTAATTGCAAAACTTTACAATTTCCAGGCCGGATCCATTCAGCGATCGTCTCCGGGGTCAACTTGGAGACGAGGTCAGTTACAGTGGAATGGTACGAACGAGGCGAGACCAAGGGCAAGGAGGTGGAGATTGATGCCATCCTAGCCCTCAACCCGGAGCTTGCAGTCGGCCCCAGGCATCACACACCACATCTACAGCCGATGCCCAACAAACTAGCCAGGGTAAGACATCTCTCTTTATGTATCCAGAAATAGATCTATATTAGCGGTCATTCATGTTTCCGGCAAGCGTAAATGTTTAGTAAACATTTCATACAGCTTGCGTTAGTTACACTTTTAGTAACATCTCTTATGAAGTCATGTCTGCCTAGTACATACTGCAAAAAGTGCAACTTGAAACTTTTATCTTTTCGTCAAGCGTGATCGATGTAATTAATGGTCATCAATCATGACTAGCTATGAATAATGATGAGCTTGAGCTCTTGAGGCTACTCATCCCAAGTGCAGCACTTGATGTTAGTCTTTTTTCATTAGACACGCATACCGAGATAATTAGTTAAATGCTTGAATTAGTTGTGTTACTAATAGAAATCACATGGGTAGATCAAAATGATTTCATTCATTCGCACACCCATACCATCTACGATTATGTTACTAACACATTGCGTCATGACTGTTTTGAAATTAATATTAACAATGAGTACATCAGGTCTCGCTGTAGCTGTAGGTAATGCAGGGACGTGGCAGCCTTGCTTTCATTACAGTCTAATTTATTTTAGCGGCGTTAACACTATTATAAACTTCAGTGCAATAAATTCTAGCGGTTAAGGTCTGTTCATATTGTTTGGCACGATCGCAGTCGCTTTCTAAATTGCAACACCTAACTTAGAAATAACATAACATTGCAGTCTTAACTGAATCAGTGAAATTGAATTTTTTGAGTTAAACATCACAGAAATGGTTCTGATTGTTGTTTGCTGAAGTTTTCAAAACGAATTTGCTTATGGTACTTACTGTACACATTGAATCTATTGAATAGGCAACATACCAGTACAAAGCGTAGTAGAAACGCGACGTGTAAAATTGCGATGTGACCAGACCTTTAAAGCATTTCCTCACGGCAACAACAAAGGTCAAATCGACCTAATTTTTGCTGAAAGCCTGCAGTCGCCATTTGCTTGCTTTCGCCAACAGTTTGCGCCTCTAATCGATTGTTAACTTTGGCGATAAAGCTAAATGAAAGCTTTAGTTAGTGTTATCGATTAGTAAGGGCGTCCGAATCGCGTACCAAGCCGCGATCACTCTCATTGTTTGGGTTGTGGAGAACAGTTGCTAATAGACGCTACACGCCACAGTTGTGCTGACATATCCGAGTAAGGCGAATGTGTTATCTGCCCATGACGCCAAGACACTTGTCATATCTAATTATCGACATTTTCATTATGAACTTTTCTAAATCGCTCATTTAGCAAAACCGACATTAGTTGGGTGTGTAGTGTTGTATATTAAACGAAGTCATACCAATGCGTGACAAAAATTGCATCCGTGTTACGCCTGTCGCGCAATTGCTGGAGAAAATGTAGAAATGTTCCCATATATCTACAGTTGGCAGGTGACTATTTGCAACTAGCTCCATAACGATCACAGCTTGACGAATTTTTTGTGAGATGCACTGTTTCCGTGGCAACGGAAGTTTGTTGAAGCACGCCGTACAATCATAATCATGATACCGCTAGAAACACTACTTAGTCATGAATGGGTAAACACAACAGCGTTAGTTAGGGGACATGTATCTAGATAATATCGATGTTTATGGAAACGCCGGCTGATGGTCGCGTGCTAAGTAGTGGCCGGCTCTTGGTCCCACGATGATTGATGGTTAGAAGTACAGACGACCTTCCAACTTGTATGGGTACGTTTGACGCACGCCGGACACCGGTCGCATCGATTTTCCACACAGCCGTGCAAGCATTTCAGTTTCACTTTCAACTCGAACCTAGTCCATTAGGGACGCACATCGTTTGTGACTTGATTATAAAAAAATGACGCAGGCGGAGGGCGAAGCGCCAGATCGTTCAGTAAGTTGTTGCACCGTGTTTTGTCATGTATCATTGGTACGTGTATGTTTGACATGGCCGCAAAGGACCCGTCTGGCTCGTCGTCGGACGACGGCGGCTTCTTGCGGGAGAGCGCCGAGGGAGATGGAGCCGCAGACTCCGGACACACGCTGCCCGTGCGCAACTCACGATCGGTACAGTTTACGCACTTACTAAAGCATCATTCGCACGCCGGAGCCTGGCGCACACGGATCCCGTGGTGCGCAGCCTGGCCCGATATCACTTTATTTTTTATTTTCACACTTTTTTCGATTACGTTGCTCCACGATCTATGATTTGCACACGAACGGCTTGTTATGGTGTTTTGTTTGACTGTAATGGATTGTGCTTTTGTCACGCCTGTTATAACCCAGTCGACAATGCGATACGGTTTGCGCAGCGGCTTTGGCGTAACAAAAACTCTGTCCAATTATTTATTGTAATGTACCTAGTAGTTGTATAACGTCGGTGTACTGTATATTTATTGCACTCATTCATTCGGCCAAAACCGATCTGTAAAAAGTTAAATTAAACAATCTACATTTTGATTTGGGTGGCAGAAATGAGTTATTTATGTCTCATTTATCAGGTGTTTACTGTAAGTCTAATTTGGTCATCATTAATGACATCAGTTGATGATTCATCTTCCCACGCCGCTGCCACTCTGACTCTTGTCTTATCGACTTTTAACGGAAATTTTCTTATGACCAATTGCATTCGCCTGTTTCGGCGGTAATTGTATCAGCTTAAGCTTTTTGATTTTTATTGAGCATTATTATGAATACTAAATGGTTTGAACTTACGAAATTCGCTGTGTATTTGGAGGTTTAAATGTATTCACCATACGTGTCAGGGTGATTTTTGCAAATATGTGTGATTTTGTTCTGAACTGACAAAGAACAATTTTAGGGAGATATCACTAAGGATTGTTATCATTTTAATATATCTCACTGCACGGTAAAATAGGTATTTATTAAGTAATATTAACAAAACTAGTGCGCATTAAGTATGTTACAGTTCTTTTATCTCACGAGCGCGGATGAGCCATAGTTGTAGTGCGTATAGACACGCACGCTTGTGTGCGTAACTAGCAGCATGCTCATTCATTACCATGCTGGCCGAAATTTAGCGTTCCCGAGCGTACGCAAACAAAGACAAAATGTGCATATACATTTACCCACACAAGTATGGTGCACCCGCACTCGTGAGATAAAACATCTGTAGCAATTTTCCACGTGCACTTTTATGATTGGCATTGATTGAAGGACAAATTAATAGCTATCGACATGACTTAATTGACATTGAAGAAAGTATAAGGTCTTAGGTAACTGGCTTGCGAAGAGAATATGTAATGTGACTGTTAGTATTATCTATGGATGGATAGTTGTAGATGATGCTGATGATGACTTTGTTGGTCTATTCATGTTAGATAAAATCAACAACTGATTGGGTCTTGAAGATTCTAATAAGGATATCAGAGGTCTTCTCTTACAAAATGACCTAAAACCTGCTAAAAAAGGGATGTTATATTTAGTACTGATACGGATACAAATACATAAAACACAAAATATCTATTCTCTGAAGAAAACGCTTATCTGAAATACATATATTATGGGCTATCTGTCACTTACAGCATTTTGACACTGCATAATTATTCCAACCAAAGTAAATACTAAGCTATGAATAAATAAATCGTAATAGGTAATATAACTAGAGTTAATAGCAATATAAAACTGTCCACACAAAGCTAAGACTACACGTGTAGACATTAATTTTATTGTTTCCTACAATTTGTAACAGACGTCCCGTTGTTTCTCTAATCTTGCCCAAGTACACACAACACTGGATAAGATGAAGCGGATTTTCTATACATATCCCACTTAATCTTCATCGAAAACGTCATTCCATTGTTTTGTTTAATCTAAGAACGTAGTCACGATTGTTTTTCTTTGTTAATTTAAACAGGGCGTACGTTATATGCGTTTTTCATCAGTTTTAGGTATGAATAGTGAGACTCTTGCCCTATTGATTCCTAACTCATATGAAACAAACGTCCTCCGAAAGTATTATAATTGAACACCAAAATGCTCTGAAACTAGCTTACTATTAATGTTACGCTTCAAAATAAAAAAAAAAAAACAAATTTTCTTTTGAAGCGCATTTAGTATGTAGTAATCTAGTTTCAGAGCCTTAGTTTGAGAGTAGTTGAGGGCATTGATATGGATTGTCTATAAAACAATCCTCTGGCATTCTTTCCTTATTTTGTACCTTTTACAACCATCGTAAATCTTAATAGATTGCTGAAATTTACTCCTCACAGTATTACATGTACTAATGATACATATTCATTAATATGTTATCAGTGAGAAACGCATTGTGTTCAGATAAGATATCTATATTCCGGTACACATATACGTGACGTCAGGTGATTTCTTGTAGATTCGAATCAATTTATTGGTATTAGAACATAATAAATGTATTTAAATGTGTCATGTACGCTGATTATTCATTGGATAAGATTTCCCATTTTAATTATATTTGTAATATAGTGTGCTTTTGGTACTCCCGATCCTAAAGGATAAAGGCGGGACGACATTGGTATCTATTTAAAGGTAAATCAATACTAAAGTTACCAAAGAACCATGAAGCAGCATTAACTTATCTCAGAAATTCACAGAGAATGTTTGTGAATATCTTATAACTTAGGAAGTCGTTAAATTATCGAAATGTGTTTTCTTGCTGTTGTTATACGACAAAAACATTTACAAAAGGAAAAATGTAAATGCTAATGTACCAGGCTTAAAGTAAGATTACTTGAAATGTTTTCTGCTTAAACGAGAATTTGTAGATTGTAGATGCAGAATCATTGACAAATATTTGTAATGAAATCGCTTTTGTAGAGAAATTTCTCGAAGTTTAAATAAAACTCAGTTCCAGTTTCCATCAGCGTATTTTTCACTTAGCACTTTAACGATTTAGTGGTGTACCGTCGTCCGGGAAATTGCCCGTGCGGCACCCAGTCTACTGGAAGAGATTACAGTCCTGGAGTTGGGCGCTAGTACGCTATTCATTGCCTCGCCGCCCGACCATGATAAATTACCTTCCGCTAATTGCTTCTGAAATGGATATTCCTACTTTATACATTTTCAGATACTTTTTTAATCGGTCTAGTACTTAATTTCTGTTCTGTAACTGCACTGGTATAGGAGTTGTTTTGTATATTCTATAGTATCAAACTCTCAGTTCTCATAAAGTCGATTCGTAGAACTATCATCTATGTCATACACTGTGTCATATTTCTTTGAAATTGAATTCGTTCATAAATGAGAGCAAATAAGATACAAATCTGCAGAGCACTCAGTTAAACAGGAAGAGCGCCATCAAAGTGGATTTATACTGCATTTCGCGAAGGAAATGTACGTCAGGTGCCGTGAATAAGGAAGTACGGAGTAACGTACCATTGGCCTGGTTACGTTTCTAGGTTCGGTTGGGTGCGCCACGATAAAAATGTCCTGTCAGGGTAGATAAAACTTTATACGAACCTCGTGGGCTTACGAAATAACAATTTTGGACGAATATTACGTAGAACGGTTTAAATAAGTGGTGATGGTAAAACATTTCTGTTAAGCCAAAATATACCACAGTTAGTAGCATATGTTGGGTTTTCTTTTCGATGTAACGAATAATCGAACATTTGTATTTTTGAATACACACAATTAAATAAAAACGTTGAACCAAATTCAAACCAATTATAAATGTAATATCAATATTTCAATAGCCACAAACTATGCATGTTTTTGCTGTATCATCCACATTATATTAGCCATTTTGTATTCCTTTTGAAGTAATGGTGTTAGTTGATTCAAGGCGGTGGTTGTAATCGGAGTGTTACGAAACTCTTCGATGCAAAACTCGGTTAGTGGGCTACGGATTTGCATTAATTAAGGGTAGTTAAACCTTATTACTTGTTAAAGAAAGATTAAAATATCGGTAACGTATTCTGAACCTCAGCAAAAAGGAATATTTTGAGGACGCTACATAGTATGGTGACACCAATATACAAATAAAGTAGCCCATGCTGTAATATAAATAGAGCCTGGTACTGTATTTTTATTATTATGTGAAGCTCATTTGTATGTCATACGGAAGTAAAAGTGAAAAGCAGTAATTATGTCAACTTTGTATTGTTGTACGGTATTATTTTTTCTGGGCCACGTTATCGGACCAAGAATCGCAGTTCAATATAATTTTCCATCGATATTCGATCTTTGTACGTATATTGTGAGCCAACAAAGTTTTAAAGTATCATTTATTTGTGTCAGCAGTTCGTGGTTTACTTCAAACGCTGACCAACCGCTCTTCAGATTGTATTAGATTATGTATGGGTCGTAACAGATTCTCTAGTGCCTTGGGGAACACTTCAAGCTTTCGGTCTTAAAACGGTTATAGAACCGTAAAATTCAGAACTTTAAAAAAAAACCTTACCCCACACTAGGATTTTCTCCTGTATCGTGGGTGCGTTTACAAATATACAAGTTCACATACACATAATGACACCCAGACCCGGAACAGCAATTTTTGGATCACACAAAGAGTTGCTCCGTGCGGGAATCGAACCCGCGCCACGTTACGCGGCAGCCAGTTGCCTAGCCACCGCGCCAACCGTGCAGTCAGCCAAATCTGACAACGGGGCTGACTAGTAATATCCTATTGTCTCTAGCTAATAGTATGTATGTAGCTCTAGTGAGATGCAGAAAATGTGAAGTGCAGGTGATACAAGTCGTAAGGGTTACATGAATCATGAATTGTCCTATCGTATTATAAAAACAATTTGTTCCATTTTAATACATCGCTGTCACATTACCGTTGAAGATGGGAATTAAATACAGAAATGCCCGCATCAACGATTTGTTAGATTACAAAATGCTTTTCGAAGGCTTTGTTTTTGTATCACTAAATGAAAATTGTTTGTATCTGTGCATGCGGGCATAGACAAACCATAGACAACGATGCCATTTCTTAAGTCAATCGTTTTTGGTGTTTTATTGTGAAGCTTTTGTGTAGTCTGGAATGGATTGTTTATTTTCTTTTTTAATTTATTTTGGACTATTACAATGATCTGAATATTAGGTACGATGAAGGTTAATTTTTCTTTGGTTTCTGTTATGTGTATACTTTCTCAAAATCTCTCGCACTCTTCAAATTGAGGGCTTTAAGATTACTTATGTAAATAGTTTATTATCCCTATCCTGCTTCTTATTATTATTTTGCGAGTGAATATTAGTTACTTTGAAGATATTAATGAAGTATTTCTGTTTTAGGACATGACGCGGCAATCTATTCCGGTAGCGACAAAAGGTGAGTTATTTATTTTAAGTTTTTTTTACGAAATGAGTAATATAACCATTTTCTTTACTAAATAATTATTGATAAATGATGTCAGCACAATTCGCATGTTGCAAGCTAAATGAATAGGAGAAAGATCTTGAACAGCCTTTGATACCCATGTTGTTACTTTTTCTCATATTCCCAGAAACGATTCTAGTAAGACTCGATTCTCAAAATTACAAAGTAACTTGTTATAACTTTGCTAACGCACAAAACTTGATCATAACAATATTTGTAAGTAACACACTCGAGTTAATTTGCGCACCTTTACCAAAACGACTAACGCAACTTGTTTATATTTAGTCATACAACAGTTCGGGCTCCATGAATCATACTGCAACACTAATACATACAAATTATTCCTTGTATTATAATCGTCTCAAATATTAACCACGTGTTTACCTTACGATTTGAACAATCAATCGTCAGGAAAATGAATTGCCAAGTTAAATGTCAAACCATCTTTTGTACCAAAAATTTTTCAAACGGAAATTAGTTATCATTGATTCATATTTTGCTTGTTATATTAATTTCATTATTCTGAAAACTTCAAGGTTTAACCTTGAGTTAACACTATAACTGTAATTAATTATTATTACCTAACAAGGATTCCCAAAAACCGCCTCAAATGACATCACTTTTGCGTGAACCTCCTTTTACAGTATTGTAACTGGCATGAAATAAAAATAATGTCTCGAAGTAAAGACGTTCTAATGAGGCGACGTTGCCCTAACGGTCGGTCTCAATCTTAATAGCGATCTTGAACCGACATGACGTGTGTCTCACTACTATACAACATATAATTCAGTTCCATTTTAGCTGATGATTCGTATTGTTCGTGATTTTCTTTGTAGCTACTGAATGCTGGATTTTGGTGTATTTTTGGACCAAGTTCTGTCATTTTCTTGCTTATTGTGTGACTACGTTGGGTTTATAGTATTTGTTTCGTTTCCGTTTTTAAAAATAAACTGTTTTTCCAGAATATTTTGTGTACCTGAGTCCTAAAGTTGTCGTCATAATCTATATATATAAAAGAAAGTCGTGTTAGTTACACCACTTATAACTCAAGAACGGCAGAATAGATTTGGCTGAAAATTGGTAGGTAGGTAGCTTAGAGCCAGGAAATCGACATAGGATACTTTTTGACCAAAATTTTTTTTTACTTTTTCCGAAAATCACGAACGGGGACGGGAAAAAATTGGATTACGCGTACGAAGTCGCGGGCCGAAGCTAGTTTAGCATAAAGTGAGCATTTATCAAGGTAATACGTCTACAAATATTGGTAATGCATTGCAACGAGGGCAGCACAACGACTTCGCTCACATCACGCGATGATTCATTAGGTCGTTATCTATTGCATTACGTTAACCCACAGTATGCCTGGCTCTCGTACTATCGTCTAAGTAATTTACTGCAGTTTACAACCTACAAAGCACATCCTTTTTTGGAAGTTTTGCTTTAGGTAGGAATCTAAGACATTTTTAACCTGCGAAAATATATAATACGAAATTAAACATACTATACGTAGTTTAACGATTATTATAGATAAAACTATTGTCTTCATTATTGCTACCTCGTCATTGAGTTCTTGCAGAGCACTTTCTTTGTTCTCTCATCACGAGAAAGCTTTGTCATAATCATAACACCACTCCAGTAATTTAAATGTAAGAGTATGAACTTAAGTCTCATATAATCCACACATCCTTATATCGTTAGAGTGAGACATAAGGTTTGATTCGTTGTGCATGAGCGTCGCTGCGTCTGGCTGGCGAGTTCAACGGTCGCGGGTCATTTGTTGTTCTGAGTTCTGACAGGTGGGGCACGCGAAATCATTGTCACTCACATCGGTTCCATACATAATATGCCCTTTGTATTCAGAAATGGACTGACAGACAGATTTATATCTCAACTAATGCTACCGTTTAAATACACGCCACTAATAAGCATGAAACTGAAAACTTTTAAAGTGATAGTCTGTTTACTAGAATAAATGACTGGAATCATTATAAAAATCAGAATATTTCCATTACTGAACAAGGTTTCACTTATAAAATAGGGCTACTGTAGCCTTTAGCCAGCCGGCCCCAAATCGTTGGTGTATTAACCCTCTGTTGCTCATTGATAGAAGTAAATTTTTCGGTTTGCAGTTAGCGTAAGTTTATTTAGTCCTTAAATCCGCAGCTTAATCAATCGCACATGCACATGCGTCTGAAAGGTACAGATAGAAAATTACCTCCATGAGGGGACATACTAAATCCCAATGCGCTTCCAAAGATCTCTATTTATGGGATGGAGACTAAGCTTTGGCTTTATTGCATTGCAGTTTTGCAATTTATGGGTTCCAACCCCCAGAGACTGCTAGGCTATCCAACTTGAAAGAAGTTTCAGGAATGCATCATTGATAAAATGTATTGTCATAAACTTTGCACATATTTTTTAATAGCGTATTATTAGAAATGCCTAAACTTTAACATCGTACAGTTGCCTACCAAAAATGAAATTAATATTGTATATCTTAATTAAGACTTAGGTCGGGGCATAGCAGCTATTAAAAATGTAAGATCTTTCTAAAAGTGTTCAAGAGTTGTAAACTTTATGTACTAGACGTAACATCTTGTAATCACGATGTCTTCACATATTCAGTGGACTTCGACTTAGCAGCATGCTCTATGCTCGGTCGAAATATTGCCCGTGTATGATGTGTACTTTTATAAATGAAATAGGTTACAGCTGTTGATTCTTCTTAGCTTTTGTATAACTGAATCATCAAGTAGCTGCCGCCCAAGAGTCTACTGGACTGATCTCACAATCTATAAATGATGTTACATATCTCAATATACAGCCAAACAAAACGATAATAATAATATTGACATTATCTAAGTTCCTTATCTAATATAATTTCAGTAGGTTTATCAATATTTGTCTTAATGTCTGTTTCTGTATCGTTGAACTCGTTTTGTGTCACCTGCATATGCGCATTTGTTTGTGTTTTAATTTTAATGTGTTTCTTTTACCTGATTATTGTTTGTTTTTTGATCACATTGTCCGATATATATACATCCACTACACTATATGCATTGTAATTTCAATATCAAAAAACCTATTTAAGTTGATGGAAGTTTACACTGTTTGACTATATCAATTTGCTCTTATCAATAACAAAATTGCATATCGCATTATCTTTATCCATTTCCATTTCGATACTGAAAAGTATTCCGACATCACGCTTTTATCAGGACATTTGTAAACCAATCAGAATACGTAATGTTTTTCTTATCTATTTGGGAAATGAAGTGTTCTATTTTACTGACCAACCTTGCATCACAATCTTACTAATTTACTGTCTTCATTACTTTATTTGACAAGAGTGCCTGAATATAGTATCCTATTTATGTTCCTAATGAGACCTTTCGGTTACCAAATACAGAAGTTTTTGTATTCCAGTCTCGCAAATTCACTTGTTTCTGCGGAGGGTTGTAATACCCCTCAGGCCTTGTTCGTTTTGTGCTTAAAATGCCTCCTTCGTCGAGCGTAACCCTAAGGCTCCTGCGTTTTCCCTAATTTAATTGCTGTATTTTGATGGTTCACTGAGACTTAAATCGTCAAGCTTAGATCCTGTTTTTGATACAAACGTAGTTTAGTATTAAGTTCGGGAATGTTTTATTGATTTCTCATTAAACTTAATTTTCGTTTCATGTGTCTTGATATTAATCGAATCTTGAATAAGTAATCATCTTTAGTCGTATGACGCACGAACTTAACTTCCATTTCATATGTAGTGTGTCCTGACCTACCTTTACCACCTGTGAAGTTGCCATAGCATAAAATATTAAGTTCATTGGCCGTCTAATAATGATTTAGAATTGGTCACCCCGATCGCGTGCCAGCTCACATACCCCTGAGTTGCGTCAATTGATTGCGCAAGTTTTATTTGGCAACCATCCTGATTTAAAATGTCCCAATTGAATGTCCTACTTGAGTTTTAATTACAGATTTAATATATGTATCAGATCTTCCCGTGATTATTTAGATATTGATCACCTTTACTTTTCCTGCCGCGAAGGTGGAGTTATGCAAGATGGGACGGACGGATTCCAATTACCAATTATTTTTACAACCAACTAGTTGCTTCAAAGGTTAGCTGTATAATCTCTATAGCAGCATAAAATTATTTTGATTTGGTACCTAGGTCTTATACTTTTTACCTCGGGAAAGTGAAATATAGTTTTCTTCTCAGCCCCGCGTTATTTTATTAGAGAGTAGACTTTCTATATTCGATTATTACCTGCGATCATAATGCATGGTCATTAAGCATTGTGTCTTTCACGATTATATTTTAGTATTGCCAGTTCAACATGGGAATTTAAAAAGTCAAGCATTTATTTCAATAAATCCTTATATAGGCACTTTGAAACGTCAAAATTGAATTTCCCGTAAGTCTGTCAACTACAGAAGCTAGGTGCTCTTTCCAAAGTGTAGTTTCAAATGGAGAAGACGAGCAAAAAACTCCGTCTGACTGAAAAACTTCCTAGGATTTATTACTCGACCTATGCGAGGAAATGGAATGTACTCCATAGGTATAGATCTAAACGGATTACCTATACAAGGTTGCTGATTCATTGCAAGGTTCGTATCCCTGATTGAGGTAAATTACCTTTTAATCTAATTCAATTAGCACATCGCGGTACAGGTAGGGTCATTGTCAAAACGTTACCGCACTTGACATTGTGCTCCCGCGAAGGTCGTTAGTGTAATTGTAACGCGTTGTTGACCGACTTTGTGAACCAGCCTCGTAATCATGCAGATTGGATCATTCTCATTCAGCTCCAATACAAGTATGCCATTAGAAACTAATTTTGTATTCACACTCTGTTGATTATGTCTTTGATAGGGATTAACTTTTGGGTGTTGGTTTATGTGATGATAATCTTGAGTCATTTTGATATCTGTATTGGCAATGGCGTTGTGGT